CTCCCGGTTATTTATAGCTGGTCCTGGGCAGCTGCTCTCCCCTGGCAGCCCAGGGGCCAAGCTGTCCCGCCAGCCTGCAGAGAAGGGGTTTATGCAGGCATCATCGGCTGGGCGGTCATGGGGTAGGTGAGGGAGGAAGGGAGAAAGGCAGGAGAGGGCATCAGGCTGCGGTCCTGCCTGAGCAGAGCTGGGCTGCCCTGGGTCTCAACTGGGCCAGCGCTGCCCCGTGCTTCCTGGGGACTTCTACCAGGTGCCCACTCCTCCTGGGCTGACTGAGCTGTGAGTGTGGATGCCGGGTCAGAAAGCAGTGCTGTGTCGACATGACACCTACCTATTTTCATTCTGTGCCGCAGGAGGTGAGAGAATGTTCTTGTTCTTAGAAAATACACAAATCAGCCGGGTGTGGTAGCGCATGCCTGTAATTCCGGCTACTTGGAAGGCTGAGGCAGAAGGATCACCGGAGCCCAGCAGGTCGAGGCTGCGGTGGCCAGGAGCGGCCACTGCACTCCAGTCTGGGCGACAGAGTGAGACTCCAACTCAAAAAAAAAAAAAGAAAAGAAAAAAAGAAAATACACGTTTAGGTTCAAGGGGCACCAACATTTCTAACTTATTTTCAAATGGTCCAGAAATACATGTGCATGGATAGATACATAGAACCACAGAGCAAAATGTAAATTGTCAGTCGATCTGGTAAAAAGGTATATGGATATGTTTTGGATCATTCTTCCAACTTTTCTGTTCATTTGAAATTATACAAAAATAAAATGCTTTAAAAAGAAAAAAACCCAAACTGACAGCAAATTCAGTCATGGGAGGGCCCGCCCCGAGATTCTGATTTCATAGCTTGGAAGGGGCCCAGGTGTCTGCATGTTTCAGTGAATGGCTCTGGGACCCCGATGCCGGGCAGGGCTGGGCGGTACTGCTCTTGGAGGGGAGAGATCTAACCTGGGGCCGGGTCAGGGCTCAAGAGGGGAGGCCAGCCCTTCAGGAGCTGCAGAAGCAGCCTGGGAGCTGTTCCTGACAGGTGGGCTGGTGCAAGGAGTTTAAAAGCTTAAGCAGCAATTTCAGCCTCCTTGTTGTTAGGATCCAAGGGAAGGCATTTGTGGAATGTGATTAAGTGGGGCACCGCGCCTTTTCCTGGAGGCACAGACAGGCGGGTGGAGGCCTTGGTTGAGAACTCAGCCCGAATTCAAGAAACTCAGACACTTTGTGCTCCCTTTGTCCCACCTGGGACACTTTTCTGTCTTTCATGGCCCTCTTCCGACCTCAGTCCCCTTCCTCCAGGCAGCCTTCCCGGCTGCTATTTCAGCTCCCACCTCTCTTTCCTGGGAAATCTCACAGGAGTCTGAAACCTGATCTCTCACTGGTGGACTATTCTTGTTCGCCCTGAGTGGATGAGTATGGAGATGCCTTCATCTTCCCTGCCACGTTTTTTTTCCTCTCCACTTCCCTCCTTTTTTGTACGGTGCTTAAGAGTCCCAGTGGCACAGGGGGAATCTGTATGGGAAAAGCTGAGGAAGAATTATCAGGTCTCCTCATTCATTGATGGAAACCCTGTTGCAAGACCTGGGACAGGATCTGGCTGTCCTGGACCCAACTGCATGGGCTCCATTAGAAAGGGCTTCTCGTATGAGCCGTGGGGCCTCAAAGACTTTGAGGAGCAGGCAGACTCTGAGAAAGCTCTGGGACAGTTCCCTTCAGTGAACTTCAGTTGGAGGTCTCCCTGAGCCAGCCTCACAGTGGGCACTGAGGGCAGAGGCTAGCCTTGTGTCTCCAGGGACATGGGAAGGGGAGGCATGTGACCTGTGAGATCTGGGAATCCTTAACTGTGATGAGAAGTTCCAGGACTGCTCAGGGGGTGAGGAGGGCACTTCCTGGGAAAGTGCTGCAGGGCACCTTAGAGGATTGGAATAGATGGAGGAGCAGGGGGGAACTTTACTCAGCATGGACATCTCCTGAGCTGGGTGAGTGCGGGATGCCTGGGCAGAAGCCTGGCTGGAGGAGATAGCTGGATTTTCTGTGGCCTCGGGAGGGTCTGTCGGCAGGCACTGTGGTACTCAACCCGATTCCTCCCTGGCAGGGCGTCTGGGTGCCTGTCTCAGTCAGCTTGGACGGCTACGGCAAAATACCCTATGTGGGGGCATTAACAACAGACACTCATAGTTCTGCAGGCTTGGAAGTCTCATAGTTCTGCAGGCTTGGAAGTCCCACATAAGGGTGTCAGCAGGGACGGGTTCTGATGGGGCCTTCTTGGTTTGTAGATGCCTGCCTTTTTGCTGCGTCCTCATGTGGCAGAGAGAGAAGACCCTGAACTCTTCTTATAAGGACACTAATCCCATCATGGGGGCTCCACCCTCATGATCTCATCTAATTCTGATTACCTACCAAAGGTCATGTCTCCAGTTACCATCAATGGGGGCCAGGGCTTCAGCATGTGACTTTTGGGAGCACGCAATTGTTAAATTCATAGCAGTCTCCTTCCCCTGGCTTTCCTTGTGCTTTCAAATAGTTCTCCTCCCTCAACCTGGAGCTTTCTCAGAACTGCCGTTGGGCAACTAGAGCCATTTTTCGCACAGTTGTGGGGACCCCAAAGTACCCAGGAAGTTACATCCTCCCAACCCCCCAAGGGCATCGTAGTGTTGGTGCTCCTTTGCCTGGTGGTGGGATGAGCTTTGAAGTGTAACTGACACTCTAGAACTCCCAAAGGGGCCAGGGGCCAGGGGCCAGGTGGAGACTGGATTTTGCCTGGGCTCATCACCATTGTCTGTCTTGCTGTGCCCCCTCTCTTCCCAGTCTCTCCTGGGAATACTTCCTTTGCACATGAGGGCACAGCAATCCTCAACTCTCCTCTGGGAACCCCTTGTGAGGGAACCTAACTGGTCAGAGAAGGCTAGGCTTGAACACACTAAATGGAATGTGTTCACAACAAATATCCTTGAGCCTCTGGGCTTCCTCTGAACAGTGCCCCTTCACTTTCTGAGGAGGTGGGTGGTAGAAGAAACCCTGCCTACGGATGTGATCTGGACAGGTCAATAAAAAATGTTGCCATTTGTAAGCTTTGTGCTACTAAGTGTGGTCGGGGGTCGGGGAGCCTTTTTGTTTTTGAAAATGACTTTGTGAGCCAGGCTCGGTGGCTCAGCCTGTATTCCTGTGCTTTGGGAGGCTGAGGTGAGTGAATTTGCCTGAGCCCATGGGTTCGAGACTCGCCTGGGCAACTTGGTGAGACCTCATCTCTACAATAAATAAAAAAATTAGCTGGGCGTGGTAGCTCGTGCCTGTAGTTTCAGCTACTTGGAAGGCTGAGGCGGAAGGATTGCCGGAGCCCAGCAGGTCGAGGCTGCGGTGGCCGGGAGCATCCCACTCCACTCCAGTCTGGGCGACAGAGTGAGACTCCAACTCAAAAAAAAAAAGAAAATGACTTTGAGGTTCCTTTTGGTGATAAAAGACAGACTCAGCACGCTCCAGAAGAGAGGTGGGTGGAAAGAGACCTAATTTGCTTTGTAAAGTAGAGTTATAGAAATTACTAGATTAAGCTTGGCATCTGCAGTCAGAGGAGTAGGTGGGCTAGGATCTAGGCTCTAGAAAGGAGAAGGGGTGAGGGGAGGAGACGAAAACCATGGGCACAGGACAGGTCCAAGGAGGGATGGGCCAGAAGAGCTTTCTAGGGTGGTGAACGGTCAATGAATGTTAGCAGTGGGCTATAATTATTATCCATTACCCCCATCTTTAGAAAAAGTCTATGACACACAGGCTGGGCATGGTGGCTCATGCCTGTAATCCCAGCACTTTAGGAGGCCGAGGTGGGAGGATCGCTTGAGCCCAAGAGTTGGAGATGGCACGACCTCAGCCTAGGCAACATAGCAAGACCTCATCTCTACAAAAAAATGTAAAAATTAGGGCATGATGGCATGTGCCCATAGTCCCAGCTACTCAAGAAGCTGAGGCGGGAACTCCATTTGAGTCCAGGATTTAGAGACTGTGGTGAGCTGTGATGGTACCATTGCACTCCAGCCTGGGCAACAAAGGGATACCAAAAAATTAATAAAAGAAAAAGTCAATACAGTATATTAAAAAAGAAAGAAAGAGTCAGGTGTGGCAGCGCATGCCTATAATTCCAGCACTTCAAGAGGTGGAGGCGAGAAGATTGCCTGAGCCTGCAGGTTCGAGACTAGCCTGAGCAACATGGTGAGACCTCATCTTTACAAAAAATCAAAAATTAGCTGGGCATAGTGGCGCACACCTATAGTTCCAGCTACTTGGAAGGCTGAGGTGGAAGGACTGCCTGAGTCCAGCAGGTTGAGTCTGTGGGGGCTGTAAGCAGTGTGCTATTGCACTCCAACCTGGGCGACAGAGTGAGACTGCAACAGAAAGAAAGGAAATAAGGAAGAAAGGAAAGAAGGAAGGAAGGAAGGAAGAAAGGAAGGAAGAAAGGAAGGAAGGAAGGAAGAAGAGTCTATGGCATGCAACGGCCTGTTCCAGTAGTGCTTGGGGAGTGATGGGAGTTGCTAGACCACATGTAGATACAGGACTGGGAGAGGTCAGCAGGTGCAGGAAGTGGGAGCCTGGACTGGACGGTTCTTTGCTGTGTCACAGAATGTACTGTCCTGAGAAATGCTCCGTTCTCTATTTCAGTGCTGCTCAATCTTTTTATTTTTTTCATTATCACTCCCCCATGGGGGGCTTATTAGCTCTTTGTTTTTCTGATTGCCTTCTCTCCCACCATGAAATGTTAATACCACGTGTACCGTGCATCTGGTAGATAC